ATTGGTAAGGAAGAAGTAAAACTCACTATTTGCAGATGACATGATGCTATTTATAGAAAACCTGAAAAACTCCACCAAAAAACTATTAGAACTGATAAATGAATTCTTTAAAGTCACAGAATACAGAATCAATATACAGAAATCTGTTGCATTTCTATATACTAATAATGAACTAGCAGAAAGAGAAATTAAGAAAACAATCCTATTTATAATTGCATCAAATGAATAAAATATCTAGGAATAAATTTAACCAAAGAACTGAGAAACCTATATCCTAAAAACTGTAAGACATTGATAAAAGTGACTGAAGATGAAAATAAAAGGAAATGAAAATCATGCTCATAGATTGGAAGAATTGATATTGTTAAAATGCTCATACCTGCCAAAACAATCTACAGATACAATGCAGTCCCTATGAACATACCAATAGTATTTTTCACGGAGCTAGGACACATAATCCTAAAATTTGTATGGAACCACACGAGACCCTGAAGAACCAAAGTAATCTTAAGAAGGAAGAACAATTCTGGAGATATGACAATCCCAAGTTTCAAGATATACTACAAAGCTGTAGCAATCAAAACAGTATGGTACTGCCACAAAAATAGACATAGATCAATGGAACTGAATAAAGAGCCCAGAAATAAACCCACATATTATGCTTAATTATTTTACAACAAAGGAGGTGAGACTATACAATGATGAAAAAAATTCAATAAATCGTGTTGAGAAAACTGGACAGCCTTATGCAAAAGAATGAAACTGGGGGCACCTGGGTGGCTCAGTGGTTGAGTGTCTGCCTTTGGCTCAGGTCGTGATCCCAGGGTCCTGGGATCGAGTCCCACATTGGGCTCCCCACAGCCTGCTTCTCCCTCTGCCTATGTCTCTCCCTCCCTCTCTGTGTCTCTCATGAATAAATAAATAAAATCTTAAGAAAAAAAAAGAATGAAACTGGATCGCTTGCTTACACCACACATAACAATAAACTCAAAGTGGATTAAAGATCTAAATAAAAGACTCAAAACCATAAAACTCCTAAAAGAAAATAGGCAGTAAATTCTTCAACATCAGACTCAGCAATATTTTTTTTGGATCTGTCTCCTTTGGCAAGGGCAACAAAAGCAAAAATAAACTACTGGGACTACATCAAACTAAAAAGTTTTTGCACAGTGAAGGAAACCATCAACAAAATGAAAAGGTAACCTGCTGAATGGGAGAAGGTATTTGCAAATAATGTATATGATAAGGGGATAACATCCAAAGTATATAAAGAACTCATACAACTCGACAACAAAAAAAACAAAGTAAAAACAAGCAATCCAATTAAAAAATGGGCAGGGGGGTACCTGGGTAGCTTAGTGGGTTAAGGGTTTGCCTCTGGTTTGAGTCATGATCTCAGGGTCCTGAGATGGAGACTGCTTTTCCCTTTCTCTCTGCCCCTCTCCCTGATTTGTATTTTCTTACTCACTTTCTCTCTCTCAAATAATAAAATAAAATAAAATAAAAAATGGACAGAGGATGTGAATAGGCATTTTTCTCAAAAAGATATGAAAACATACAGACAGCTGACAGATACATGAAAAGATGCTCAACATCACTCATCATCAGGGAAATGCATATCAAAACCCAATGAGATGATCCCCTCATACCAGTCAGAATGGCTAGTATCAAAGGAACAAGAAGTAAGCATTGGTAAGGATGCGGAGAAAAGGGAATGCTCATGCACTGTTGGTGGGAATGTAAATTGGTGCTGCCACTATAAAAAACAGTGGGGGATGCCTGGGTGGCTTGGTGGTTGAGCGTCTGCCTTTGGCTTAGGGTGTGATCCTGGTCTGGGGATCGAGTCTCACATTGGATTCCCTGTGAGGAGCCTGCTTCTCCCTCTGCCTGTGTCTCTGCCTCTCTCTCTGTGTCTCATGAATAAATAAAATCTTTAAAAAAAAATCAAAACAGCGGGGAGGTCCCTCAAAGAATTAAGAATAGAAATACCATATGATCCAATAATTCCACTTCTGGGTATTTACCCAAAGAAAATAAAAACACCAATCTGCAAATACGTATGCACTCCTATGCTTATTGCAGTATTATTTACAATAACCATGATATGGAAGCAACCTACATGTCCAATGGGTAAAGAAGATGTCACACACACACACACACACACACACACAAATATTACTCAGCCATAAAAAGAATGAAATCTTGCTGTTTGTGACATATAAGAACCTAGTATGCTAAGTGAAATAAGTCAGACAGACAAAGACATGTACCATATAATTTCACTTACACGTGGAATAAAAAAACAAATGTATGAACAAACAAACAAGAAACCAGAAACAGACTCATAAATATAGAGAATAAGCTGGTGGTTGCCACTGGGGAAGGGGTGGGGTGATGGGCAAAATAGGTAAAGAGGGTCAAGAGGTGCAACTTTCTGGGGCACCGGGGTGGCTCAGTCAGTTAAGCATCCGTCTTCAGTTCAGGTCATGATCTCAGGGTCCTCAGGGATTGAGCCCTGAGTCGGGCTCCATGCTCAGTGGGGAGTTTGCTTCTTCCTCTCCCTCTGCCCCTCCCCTCACTTGTGCTTGCGCTCTCTCTCAAATAAATAAAATCTTAAAAAAAAAAAAGAGGTTAAAATCTTTAAAAAGAAAGGGGGGGGGGATCCCTGGGTGGCACAGTGGTTTAGCGCCTGTCTTTGGCCCAGGGCACAATCCTGGAGACCAGGGATCAAGTCCCACATCGGGCTCCCTGCATGGAGCCTGCTTCTCCCTCTGCCTGTGTCTCTGCTTCTCTCTCTCTCTATCATGAATAAATAAATAAAATCTTTTAAAAAAAAAAGAGGTAAAAACTTCCAGTTATAAAATAAATACATCACAGGGATGAAAAGTACAGCATAGGGAATATAGTCAGTAATATTATAATGACTTTGTATGGTGACAGATGGTAATACACTTAAATGGTGAGCATTTAGTAATACATATAAAATAAATGTTGAATCATGCATCTGAAACTAACATAATATTATATGACAACTATAATATTTAAAAGATATTTAAATTAAATATTAAAATTAAATATTTAACTTAAATATTTAAAAGAAAATGCAGTCTGTTCACAGCTACAGGAACTAGATGTCTTGGGCACACCATGACCTAAATATCCTCATTCCTGGGACTTCTCTGAGACTCTTTTTTGATATGTCTTTATAGTCACAGCTGTAAAATTAGACTCAGTTTTGGGAGGGGGAGGGGTGTAACAGTGTACAGATCATAGAGGATGAAAGAAAAATTAATTTCTCTCTGGAGTTCAGCATGTACAGGAAAAGTGCCCTAGGAGAACTAAGGTTATTTTGAAGATTTGGTGAAACACAGTATAGAGCATATGTACACGCAAGTGGGTTCTTGTGAAATCTCAACAAATGCAGCCTACACTTCCTTGCTCGCACATGGGTTTAGGGTTCATTCCTTGGATTGGGTAGATGTCTACACTCATTCAATTCTAATATCTCTGTTCCCCTTCCCCCCCAAAATAATAATATCTCTGTTCCCATCTCAGACTATCTGGTAAACCTCCAGTAGTCCAGCCCTACACACGGACAGCATAGCCTGAGGTTGCATACACAGGGTGATTTGCACAAAAACTATCTGGGCCCCTTCTCTGCATAGCTTTTTCCTTTCTGATGCCCCATATTCTAGAATGCTGCTGTCTCAGCTGCCACTGATGGCTGCCTCCCTCATGAGGCTCCATGGGATTCCATGCTCAGTTGCCACTCCAGCTCTCTACACTCTGACATAGGAACTGTGCCCAATGCTGACCATGGGGGTCTCCTCATGAGTTTCCCTCCTCTTGGATATTAGTTGTCTAGAGATAAGCTCCAGACAGCTAAATTTAAAAGCCAAAATTAGACATTATTAGAATCTAAATAAATAGGTTTATACTCTTGAGGGAAAGAAAGCCATGTAAGGCACAAAACAGAAAAAGCATTTAAAAAAAGATTGAGAAAACTGATTACATAAAATTGTTTCTGTATAACAAAATTAAAGGATATATATATATATATATATATATATATATATATATATATATATATATAAAACTACTAATATCTGGAATATATTCTTATAATACATATGAGATAACAAGTCAAGGAAAAATTGGCCGAGGAATGAATCAGTAATGCAGTGAAGTGGAAACAGGGTCAGAAACATTTGAAACATTTGAGTCTCATCAAAAAATAAAATAGTAGACTATTTTCACTCATCAAATTGGTAAAAGTTAAAAAGATTTTTAATTCACAGTTAATGAAGATTTGGGAAATGGGCATTTCTGGGTTTTTTAGAGGAGGGAGAGAATGAGAGAGGGGTGGGGGAGAGGGAGAGACAGAATATTAAGCAGCTTCCACATCTAGCAGGGAGCCCAATGCTGGGCTCGATCTCACAACTCTGAGGTCATGACCTGAGCTGAAATCAAGAATCAGATGCTTAACCGGCTGAGCCACCCAGGCACCCCAAAATGGGTATTCTTACTTTGGCTAATGGGAATATAAATTGGCTTTGGCTTTTAGGAAGGCAACAAGAAACATATTTTTAAAAAATAAAAATATGATTTGACTAAGTAATTTCACATGTGGGTATCTATTCTAAACATTTTTTTTTAAAATTTATTTATGATAGTCACACAGAGAGAGAGAGAGAGGCAGAGACACAGGCAGAGGGAGAAGCAGGCTCCATGCACTGGGAGCCTGACGTGGGACTCGATCCTGGGCCTCCAGGATCACGCCCTGGGCCAAAGGCAGGCGCCAAACCGCTGCGCCACCCAGGGATCCCCTGTAGGTATCTATTCTAGAGAAAATAGTCATGCGTTTCCCCAAAGACACCCACAGGAATGTTTGCCACACCATTATTGTTCAGAATGGGGAACTGGAAATATCCTAGTTTCTATCAATTAAGCTAAGCAAACTTGTTCTGGTTTTGAAAAATGTTTATGAAAAATAATCTATAGTGCTTGCTTTGGCTGCACATATACCAAAATTGGAACGAGAGAGGATTAGCATGGTACCTGTGCAAGGATAACACGCAAATTCATGAAGCAGTCCATAATTAAAATCAAACAAAAAACCCTAATCTAAACTCAGTTTTCTAATCTGTAGGCATTCCTGTGAAGCTCATGGGAAGACGCTGATGTTTTAGGTTTCTATGGGTTTGCTTTACGCAATTTGTTCTAAATACTTGATGTTTCTTAGTAATTACATAAATGTCAATCTAGGGGACTGGTCCTATACTTGTCTCCATTTTCACTGACTTTGAGATAGTCTAGAAGGGACAGAGAACAACAAATGGATACAGTCAAAATCCAAAAAAGACCTCAACAGGCCACAAACAGGAAACCAAATTTAAGTGAGATGACATTTTAACTTAATTCTTCATTTTGTTTTTCTTTTTTCTTTTACTTATTCATGAGAGAGAGAGAGAGAGAGAGAGAGAGAGAGAGAGAGAGAGGCAGAGACATAGGCAGAGGGAGAAGCAGGCTCCATGCACCGGGAGCCCAATGTGAGACTCGATCCCGGGTCTCCAGGATCGTGCCCTGGGCCAAAGGCAGGCGCTAAACCGCTGCGCCACCCAGGGATCCCTCTCTCTCTCTCTTTTTAAAGATCTTATTTATTCATGAGAGACACACAGAGAGGCAGAGACACAGGCAGAGGGAGAAGCAGGCTCCTTGCAGGGAGCCCGATGTGGGACTCGATTCCAGGTGTCTAGGATCAGGCCCTGAGCCGAAGGCGGATGTTCAACCACTGAGCCGCCCGGGCACCCTGATACCACAGTCTCTTTAAGTCACCTCCAGTCTTTTGTTGTCATACTGTACACATAAGGAATAAATTATGACAGATTCTGCCAAGCTGCCCTCAGAGAGATTCTTCTCCCTTTTACTCCTCCCATGTCGTGACATGTGATAACCTCCCTCCACATTCATAAAAGTGTCCACAAAGTTTCAGAAAGTAACGTGATCTTGTCCACCCCGATGCTCTCTCTACCACTCCAAATAAGAGTATTTTTAGTAAGGAAAACTTTTTTTTTTTTAAGGGGAAACAGCATTTCTGTATTTTTGGATGTGCCTACTAAGAAAATAATACGTAAGAACTAAGCAATTTGTTCTAAGGAATTTTGTTCCATGACCAAGTTTAACTTATACGAGACAATCTTCAACCCTAGCTAAACCTCTCACTCCCAGAAAGACTGAATTCAGTCTCTAAAATCATAAGCTTCTGGAGCTAGACTATTTCTTTTTCCCAGATGAACATTTCATGAATAAGAGAATGGAAAAAAATACTCAGTGCAGATTCACTTGGGACTGTTATTATCTAAATAGACTTATATGCTGTCCTGGGGGATCGAGAGGGAACAGCAGCAGACATTAAGCCTCGTCTCTCTTAATGATGGCAAGATAATGGCTTTTGGTATTGGATGGTGTTGGCTACAATACCAGTTGCTGGCATATTTGATCTATGGAGGTCCTCCGGCAGGACAAAGGATCCACAGGGAGGAAAGGACAAAGGCACTTTAAATCAACCTCAGTCCACAGCAGGAGGAAACGTTCTTACAACATTTTATTTGGAAAACCATGCTTTTACTTCCTGAAGCTGGCAGGACATCTAACATTCTATACATATAAAAAATGTGTGCACTGGCAATGTTTGAACGCAGATGTTTCCCTCAAATGATCCTGTAAAACCAGAAGACTCAGCTAACTCAAATCAAGAGCCCTTAACTGGAATCTGATGCTGTTTCTAAGAGCCCACCTCATCTTCTGCATTTTGTAGGCATTCAGCAGGTTGGGGTGCCTGGGTGGCTCAGTTGGTTAAGTGTCTGACTTTGGCTCAGGTCATGATCTCAAGGTCCTAGGATGGAGCTCCAAGGCAGGTTCCCTGCTCAGCAGGGAGTCTGCTTGTCCCTCTGCCCATCCCCCGACTTGTGTGTGCGCCACGCCCTCTCTCTCTCTCTCAAGTAAAATCTTTAAAAAACAGAAAGGAATTCAGCAGGTTGGAACAGGCAGGATGTGGGTCTCTCAGCCTGCAGAGTTGCTGAGCTGAGCCTTACACTTGGGTTTTGGGGCTGTGCTGTGCACTTGCAGCCAGGCCTCTGAGCAGCGGCCACTCCCTTAGGGGCCTGTGGATCTCTGCTCTCCTTCCAAGCCTCTACTCCATGCCCAGCCTCTAGCTGAACCCTCCCCCAGGCTGTTACCGTCCACCTCTAGTTCTTCAACAGACTTTTCTGACTTAACAGAGCTCTAGAGCCCAAATTCTTGGTGACCAAAATACTTTCCTTTTCCTTAGTGACAAGGAAGACTGACTTTCTCTGTTTCCAGTAGGTGCTGGTGATATGGGGGATTGGGGTGTGGACTACATTCCATACTTCTGAGAAAAGGGAGAAGAAACAAAACAGGTATACAGAAAAGGTTGACCTCCCACACAGGCTACAGATACGAGTCTAATTCTGTCAGCTATGGAGACCTGAAAGGCTTTCAAGACATGGTGGCAAGGGTCCCCCCAGAAGAAGCGTAGCAGAAGCTTGTCGGAAGCATGGCAGCAGCGTCCCTCCTGTGAATTCATCCAGGAGGAAGATGGATGGATGTCACATGCTACAACATGGATGAAGCTTGAGGACATTATGTAAGGAGAAATAAACCTGACCTGAAAGAACGAATGCTGGATAATTCCAGCTCTGTGAGGCACCTCTAGGAGCCAAATGCATGGAGGTAGGAAGTAGAACGGAGCTTACGAGGGGCTGGGGGATTGGTTCTTAGACAGGGATTCCACTGGGAAGATGAAAAAGTTCTGTGGGTGTATGATGTTAATAGCACAACGACACGAGTGTGCTAACGCCATGGAGCTATATGCTTAAAAATGGTTAAAATGGTGAATTTCACATTCTGTCTATTTTACCACAATAAAAAGAAAAAAAGAGATCAAGGATGACAGGAATGACAACAGAGCAGAAGGGATAGATCCCTGCTCATCTGCCCACAAACACCGATAAAAGCAGCTAAGTGGATTTCATTCAACAACGATGAATCCTCCCATGTAATTAAGAGTACTTTCAAGAATATCCTGTTCCACTTAGCAAGCTGTTAGGTAACTTCCCCAATTTGAGTGAAAAGTTTCCTGTGGTTCCTTTAAAATCACTGTTTGGTAGTTCTGCTGGGCTGTGATGCTGCCACTGTTTTGTGCCTGGTGGAACTTTGGTGCCTTGGGGGCTCTGCACCCTGTCTTGCAGAAGGACTCAGCCCCAGCTGGTGCTTGTGTGACCAGAAGTCTGACACTGTCAGGCAGGGACATGTCTGACCCTTCTGTCTTCACCTCCGCTTTATCACCAGAACCCTTCCAGGTTGCTGTCTGGCCTATCCTCCCCGCTAGTCTACCTGGGTCTTTAAATCTGGGCACAACACTGGCTCTGGATGGTTCACAGGGCTAGTGACCTGTCTGCCTGGCCCCTCCTTGGGGTTACTCAGAAAGTGTGCGGGGCAAAGGCAGCAGGGCCCTTTTTCTGATGTCCAACCCCACTGGGGCTCACTGGCCCATTCCTCATTAATTCAACTGGCTTTTCTAGCCCTGCATTGGAAAGCTTTGATTTTGAGGGGAGAAAGTCTGTTTATTCTACTCAAATTTGAATAGAACTGATTTTAGCTTTAGTTTTCACATAATTATCAGAATATGCTACTAAGATTCTTAGGCCTTTCTCATCTTTTCAATCCACAGGCCTTACAGTGTTCATGGTTAGGTGACTGGAAATCAGGAAAAAGAAATCTAGTAAGAAAAGCATCCTGAAAAGAAGATAACAAGAATAAGAGTAAATACACACTAATAAGCCACAAGAAAATGTGAATGGGCTAAATTTCTCTATTAGAGGAATTTTTGGATTATAGATAAAGCTAAATTGTAAGAAATATACTTAAAGTGTGTGAATAAGAAATATGAAGAACAAAGGAATTATAAAAATATACCATGCAAATAGAAGTTAAGCAGAAAGGGGAAGAGGATATTAGCATAAAAAAGGAAAACTTCCAGGTCAGAAGGTTTAACTGAAGTAAAAGGTAAACATATTAAGAAGATATAAGAGTTATGAACCCTTAAGTCTGGTATCAAAATATCTTATGTAAAAACTTAGAAACCAAAGATTTTGACAAAACTACAATCAGAGTAAGAGATTTTAATACACCTCACTCAGAATTCCACAAATCAACTGGCCACATAGTGAAGGACACCCTCCACAGCCCACAGATGGCAGCTCTGGGCCATTCACAAGGTTCCCTTGAGAACAAGTGGAGGGGCCTGCTTTACATGCAACTAAAAGGTCTGTGCAGAGGAGTTTGATCAAAGGAAAAGAACATTCAGTTCTAAGAAAAATTTAAGCCTCCACTTCTGGGGAACATGAGAATTGCAACTTCTAAATGAGGGGTTTCCTAACTTCAACCCAACAAAATTTCAGAACACTTTGGGTTCTCATTTGTTAGAAGGAGCGTCAGTCTTGTGGATCTGTCCTATATCCCAGAGTATAATATGTTCCTTCTGGCTAAAAATTGTCACCAACCCTACTGGAGAAGGCAGAAAAATACCTAATTGCATTTGGATTGTGTACAAATGATACAGGGTTTCAGTGCTTGCTGACATCTTAACAAAAAACCAGGTCATATTAATACAAGAATTCATTTATACCTAAGTCATGTAACAATAATAAGCCAAATGTCCCTTTATAACTAACAGAGTATAAAAATATGCTTCATATTAAAGAATGACCATAATTAAGTAGCAATTTTCCCCCAAGAGTAATATACCGGATTATATATACATCATGTCCTGTGACTAAATTGGGATTTCTAACCCAGGAATATAAGAATGTATCCCTATGAAAAAATCTGTTACACAATATATTTATGTTAATTACATAAGTGGGTTGAAAGAGAAAACCCCTTATGCATTGTTCAACAAATGTCAAAAAGGAATTTGATACAATTCTTACCTATTTCCAGATCAAAAAAAAAAAATCTCAGTAAATAAGCTTCCTTTAGCTGAGAGAGTATTTACTAGGAAACAACACAAAAATATATTT